GATAACGAAAAATGCTCCGGCTCCTTTATCAGAAATAAAGCATATGCAGGAAATGTAACTGATTTATTTATTGAATAAATCACATTACATATTGCTTTAAAATAAATATTAAAGTCTTGTACCAACTCATGTTTAAAGTTTCAACAATGTCTGATTGAACAGTAGAAAAATGTTACATTTTTTCTCAAAAATAATGGAGGGTTTTACACATCTTTGAATTTGACAGCGTGGTTGCGCTGTAGTTTTAACGGCACTAACGAAGCACTCAAAAAGTAAAGCCCTTTGGTTCAATTCTGAGTTTAATGGGGTGATCTATGGCGTAACTATCCGTAGGCAGAGACAGCGGTTGCTTACGGGTCCATGACCTATTAGGGGCCCCATCACTGTAGGGGTGGAACGGTTCACAAAATCCACGGTTCGGTTCGGTTCACGGTTTCATGGTCACGGTTTTCGGTTCGGTTTGGTAGATGTTGATTGTTACACCGAAATCCCATAAAAATTAATGAAATTAATGAAAAAATCAGAAAAAATTAATGAACTGTAATTATTTTTAATGATCCGCGGAAACCCTGGATCATTTCCGCATGTTTTGCTGCTTTGAATTTAATCATCTCGTGCATGCCCTCAACGATCTCCAAGGAACTCAGAGCGGAGCGGACGGGAGCCACAGTGGAGGCTGTAGGCTTTGCTTTGCGCAGGCGGTCTGGAGCGCAGTGGAGCGCAGCGGAGTGGAGTGGAGCAGAGTGCTGACGGAGTATGTGGGATTTCGGGGTTAGCGTTACACGTTGGTCATGTTGCTGTTAGCATGAACAAAATGTGTTGCACAATGCTTGCACACTGTTGCACTTTTATCCACAACTTTCTTTCTGCCGTCATCGTAGGTCACTCTAAATGCAAAGTGGTCCCATACAGCAGACCTATAAAGTTCTGCTGGCACTTCTTCCAACTCCTGTTCTTTCCCACTCGCCATACCCACACAAAACTCCACAACAACTGATTTTTTTCTGCTACACCCGGCTACGGTGCTTCGCTTCTTCCTCTTCTTGTTTACTACTGGTGGTTGGCTTTGGTCGCAGTGCCGCCACCTTCTGCTCTGCAGTGTAAACGCTTTGCCTATGAGAAAAAGGAGCAGCGCATGAACCGAACGCAACACACGCGAACCGAACCGAGACACTCAAACCGAACGGTTCGGATGGTTTTCATAAACCGTTCCATCCCTACATCACTGACACCTGGTTGGCCCCCAATGCAATTGTAGACCAGGACGTCTCTTTGCAGATGTAATGGTGCAAAAAATCTTCTTAAACCTACCAGATACTGAAGTGGCTGACCACACCGGACCGTATTTATACCGCAACTTGTGACCTCTGGATGACCTGATAAATAATCTTTAATGTCTCTTAAACAAAAGTAGCAAAAATAATATTTTTTTCTGAACAATTCTACATTAAAGTAGCACCAACCATTCAGTATATTTGTAGAGTTTTTGACGTGGGTGAGATGTCAGCTTTACGCAGCTGTTAACCCTGGTGAGCCGAGTGAGAACAGAGATGAAGCTGAGCGCGCATTAGAATTGGCTGATGTAATTTCGTTTAAAGATATCTAAGAAGCTTCTTCACTGGGCTCATATCCCATTCTGATGTCACACGCTGCAGTGCCTTGAAGGGGAAGGAACCAGCCACCGTCGCACACAGGAAATTTTTATTTTATCGACATGGGAAAATTTTCGCCGGTTATTATAGTGAATGACGGTAACGGTAAAAATCAGGTTTGTCGCCGAACCGTAGCACAAGACTTGTAATTCTGCGATTGGAAAAAAAAAATCAAACATATTTTTCATATAAATCTCATACGTTTTCATCCACCAACCTTTTAAATCTTTTGTTGTATCTTTCTAACAGACATGCAGACCTGGAGGCTGAAATGTTTGCCGTCAAGTAGATTGATCTTATTTAGACTGAATGGAAAGTAGGAGATGTTTTAGCTTGGTCGTAGACTCTAACCAAACCTTTCCAACACAGGCTTTGATCTAACCTCTTATTATGTACCTCAAGTTCTACTGAAAGGTGAACTTCCTCTTAGTATGAGACCCTTTGAACATTTATCAGGTAATTTAATCCATTCATCTTTCAATCAGCTTCTGTGTCTTTGCTTAAAGAAATCATTTCAGTTGGGGGGAAGCTGTTGCCAGCATTGTTCACCATGGGAATGGTGAGCGCAGATGGGTTTTGGCTTTTATCCACAACAACATTTTACAGCAAAAAGTTATTTTATGGTCTCATTTTAACAGAGAAATGATGGACTGAGAGATTCCCCTGCATAACTCGTTGACTGATATGAAATAAAAATGGTTGCAGTGGATTTTTATAAAATCATCTTAGTCCAGAATTGTTTTGTGTTTGAAACTCCTGCCTTTAAATTACCTTGAATTTTTTTAAGTAGTTTTGGAAAAAAAAAAAAAAAACCTTCGTCTGTCTGCTACCTGTGTGCCTGGTTGACCCTTGGGAGATTTCCTACAGAGGAGCAGCCTTGACTGAACCGCATGGCAAATAACGCCGTGCCCTTGAAAAGCCCAGCGCTATAATCCAAGATTAGAGTGTCACCGTTCACGTCCAGAGAAGAGAGGTTGTTGCCTTGTGGAGGTTTACTGGAAATAATTGGTGGGTCTGAATTCATGCGTTTGTTTATCAATGAGCAACAAATTCTTACTGTGAACTTTGTTAAATAACTTGTTGCTTTAAAGAGTGATCTCTTGATCGGTTGTAGGCTTTGGGATCTATTTGTTCCGGAGCTTTAGGCATGAAGTTTGTCACGTTTCGATTTCTGTTTTTAAAAGTTTTACGTTCTTAAAGTCAGATGAGTTGAGTCATCCTTTTGTTTTACTTTAATAAGACATTTTTTCATTTCACAGTTAAAGGAGAAGTTCGGTTTTTTACACTTTAAGCCCATTTTCTGTAGTGTCCAGGATGAAATCGAATGATCGACACCAAAAGTTTGACAATTGCTCCTGTCTCTGCTTTTTGGCTCATTTAGAATCACCCCCTGGCTGCTTTAGAATGGCTAGCATAGAGCATGTCCGATAATGTCCTTAAAACAACCTTAAACGTTCTTTTTTTAAAATATGCTACTCACCGTGTCGTCAGCGCTGTTCAATGACGTTCCAAAAAAAGTTTCGTGAAGAAAAAACGTTCCTGTAGTGTTTTATTTAGCATTTTGTAAATCCCATTGAGTTCTGTAGGAATAGTCAATATTCCGCTGCCACCGGAAACGGAAATGGAGCCTGTTTACACAGTTGTAGTCTTTTCGCTTCACTCTGTGTACTCCGACGTCGAGAATCAAGAATCCACCTTTCGTATTCCATTTTCAGAGTTTTTTAAAGTGTTTAACAGAGACGTTAGCACCTCGACGTCGATTTCATCCTGGACACTACAGAAAATGGGCTTAAAGTGTAAAAAACCGAACTTCTCCTTTAAGGATGTGATTATAAAGTATTACAGGGACGCTGTAGTGCAGCAGAGAAATCCATCTCACTCTTTCTCAGTTTATATTTGCATATTTTCCTTCCTGGAAAAATGAATGTAGGGATGATACTGTTGCTTTACTTCCACATAAATTACCCAGAAAACAAAGATTAACATGAATTGTTAATGTTAGACTGAATCTTGTGCAGCCGTCGCCAGCCATATCCATGCTTTACACTGGAAAAATATTCTAGAAATAAGTAAAAAAATATCTGAAATTCAGTATATTTGCCCTCAATTTGAGTAGGTAAACTAGATGAATGTTTTTATTCTGAAAATAAGATAATTAGATAATATGCACTTGAAATAAGACAATGCAATTGTGTTTTTCCAGTGCACAGCTAGATGTCTGCATTTGGCTACAGGTTCGCCCGCCCATCTGTCCATTCCTTTTTTATATATATATATATATATATATAAATAAATAAATAAATAAATAAAAGCCTTTTTCATCACTGCAAAAATGATCTAGAAATAAGTAAAAATTTCCTAAATTAAGTGTATTCACTCGTAATTTGAGTAGGTAAATGAGACAGTTTGCCAATGGAATGAGTAATTTTATCCTTAAAATAAGATAATTAGATAATATGCACTTGAAATAAGAGAATGCAATTGTTTTCTTATTTTAAGTGTAAATTGTCTTGTTCCATTGGCAGAATGTCTCTTTTACCTCTTCAATTCAAGAACAAATGCACTTATTTTAAGAAAAAAATGACTCATTTAGATTTAGATTTCAATTAAAAACATTTATGTCTGAAAAGATGAATCCTTTATAAAAGCCGGATGTATCCTTCAAATTCAGTGCTTTAGACTTTTTTAAGGTTATATATTTCTAAACTTGCATATCTGCGGTGTTATTTCTTTCTGTTTTTCTAGAGTTTATGCCACTTGTGCTCTCCGTTCACATCTTTATAAGGACACAGGGCTCACCTTGCCGAGATATGCCAGGTGTTTGACTAATAGCTGCTCGGAGCCTCGTATCTCGGTGAAAAAGCTCTATTTTATGCCTGTCATATTGGGTTATCGCACACATCTGTTAACTAAAAGAATATGAAGAAATGATATGGCCCCACCAAATTTTAGCTTAACGTTCCTCATAGTTAAGGATTTAATGATACATTCATATAAAAAAAGAGACATTTATTGCACCTAACCTGTTCATTTCACACAGTGATATACTTCCTTTCATTAAAAGTTTTTTATTGATATTATGTCTGAAGTATTTGAATATAAGGTCACAGTTTTTACCATGATTCTAGTAGTTAGATCAAAATGATTATTTAAATCGCTAACAGATACATCTTCCCTAACACCAAAAGCCTTTTTGTCCTGTACCTTCCTAATTTAAAGGACTCCACTCGGAAATATATGCTTATAAAATGAGGAGTTGTGTAACAGAAATGCTGCATGTTTTATTCTTTAAAAAAAGCCTTGAAGGCCCTGTCAGACGTGATATTCATCTCTGTATCTCTGTTTTAGGTGGAAGGGATGAGCAGGAGGGTCTTGCTGCCATCAAAAGGATTTGTGAAGAGTACAAGGAGGCCAAAGGTAGAACTGGAAACACAACAGCATGAATACAGATGCTTCTAGAAAAGCATACCTTGATTTAGCCATGCAACCTTTTTACTAAAAGCAAAGTGTTTTTCCCAGCTGTTTTTACACCTGCATGCATATAAACGTAATCTCTCAGTAAGCCACTCTTAACTTAGCAAAGTGCCCATTATGGTGAACAAAGGGGTGAAAAAAAAAGAAATTCTGAAACATAACAGAAAAACATTGAAATGCCTTTTATCCTGCTGCCGTTCTCAGCATGTAGAAGCCAGGCTGACCACTGGCTCACAAACTTTTATCTGAAACACATGGAATGTGTTCACTTGTGTGTTGACTTTATTAACCGAACCAGATTTCCAGCAAAAAAGCAGCTTAACTGCATTAGAGAGAAACCCCTCTAAATGAAAAGAAATGTGTCAAGAAAGGAGTTGGAAGAGGAAAGGAATGGAGATAAGAAGAGACAATTGATAGCTGATATTTATCACACCATCGACTAAAGCCTACAGGGTACTCCGTAACTCCAGTGTTGAGAAATTAAATCGGCTGACCTTCACCGTATCATCAATCCCACCGGTGTCCTGACAAAGAGGTGTCAGAAGTTATTCTCTTCTCTGCTCAAGAAGCCTTGACTTGAACCACACTGGATTGACGTCATATTATATTCCTCAAAATAAAATCCAGGAAGTCGTGCTTGGTAAACATATTACATATAACTGATATTATATTTAATTTCACGTCATTATTCTTTATATAAATCCCTCCTCACTAAAGAAGCCAACCTTCCAATGAGCATTTTTTCTTCTTCTTTAGAATCAGAGAATGCAGTATAGTTAGTGTAGAGATAGTTTAGTGAACTTTTTTACCTTCTTATAGTAGCTAACATTACTTTAACACTAATGTTAAATTAACAATACTTCATTATTACCAAGAAGATCTACTTTATCTTTACTCAAACATTGCAAAAAGGCTGATCATTATTCATAAACAGAGGCCTTTATTGTGATACATTAAGCATTTCTGTTACAGTATCTGCTTATAGCCTTTTTCTTTTCCAAGCCTAAATTAACCTGAGGCCCTGTCCACACAGAGACAACAATGGCACAGTGCAAAAATCTAACTAAAGCTAAGTAGATTTGTCTTTAAATAAGTGTTTTTGGACTCACTTTGAGTTTGTCCAATAAATGGTGTGCCAATGGAGTAAGATCTTTGCACTTAAAATAAGAAATTAAATCTCCATTATTTTATTTGAAGTGCAGTATATAAGATCATAATTTAACAAGCCAAAATAATGATTCTATTGGTTAAAATAAAGACCAGTTATATTTATTTAGAAAAATGTTTTTGTATTTTTATCTATTTTTGCAGAGTGCATTTCTAAAATGGCTGTCTAAAACCAGGATGAAAACACTAACTATGTAAGGGGAAGAATTGCAACAAGTGAAATATTCTGTCCATAGACTCTGCTAAAAATTGTATTAAGGTCAGTTCATAACTTTTAAAGTAATGCTTCTAACAAAGCAACCAAACAACAAACACAGCTGATAAAAAGGGCACCTTGGCGAAGGTAATCGTTATTACAATGGGATAAATTCAAAAGTCTGTGTCTGCAGTCATACAGCACCACTGAAATATGCATTCCACGGTGGTGCTGTGATGCAGCCACAGTAACACACCAGGCAACAAAACCACCAGGCATCCTCAGACGACTCCTGCAAGGTAAACACAGCAAAGATGGGCATGCAGGTTATGGAGAGAGGTGGTGCTAAAGACGTCATTGTTTCAGGAAACACTGTTGCTGTTCGCATTAAACCACAGAACTGACGTCTGGAAATCTCCCCACTCTATGAACCCGATGCACACTTGATATGAATTTTATATAATCTCCTAAAACACTGAATCCATGCGGACATGTTGCCTAAATTACAAAATACTTTTGCAAACCACGTCTGTGATTGGACGAGGCCCCAGACATGTTTCATCATGTCCAAAGATGTTAAGAAAAATAGGGTTACTTTTTAACAGCTTCTTAGTTTTCTCCCTTTTTATTTTATTTTTTGTATTTGTTTTCATTGACATTTAGAATATCTCCCTATGAGTTGTCTTCCCTCAGTAACAACATTCACAAAGAAGACTTTTGTTACCTAAAGGAAATTTCCGGTCAGCGAGGAATGATCAATGGAATATTTTCTATACCTAAAACCAATATGTACGCAGTGATTTAATTAATTTAACGTTAATCAATAATAAAATAAAACAATATTTTTAGTCGCGATCACTGACTCTGGGAACGGACATTTTTGCCCAGATATACAGTAGTAACACCTCACTCCTGACATCTTCCGGCAGTTACGTCACAGTGCAGTAAGCCGAGCGCCATTCTCCCCGCTTTACAAGCAAAATCAATGGGAGCTTCTAGACACATCTGCAATCCAGAGGACTTCACCATTGAAATTCTTGAGAGCTATAGTGAAACTGACAATAACCATAGGCATGGCAGTTAGATACATCGGGTAAAAGTGAAAACAAAATGAGTTAATCCACCTTTCCGATTCATGATCCACCACGGGTTCATCGTTGGATTGCCAACTTGAAGAGGTCGGATTTGCCTTCGAACTTCTGGCCAGAGAAAAAACACATAATATGTAGCCAACATTTGGAAGAAGAATGTTTTCAAGAGGACTTGGATAAAAGCGCGTTGTGACAAACACCAGATACAGCACCAGGACTTGCTCAAAAGCCGATACTGCACCGTGACGTCACAAACCAGTAGGTGGCAGTAGTGCTCTTTGACATCCATGAATGTCTCAGATAAATCACATTTAAATTAAATTATTCTTAATTTAACCTATTAAACCTATCATATACTGAACGGTATGTAATAATTTCTTATTTAAAGTACTTTCAGAAGTTTGAATTCTGAATATGAACGGACTTCTCCTTTAATACACATGGCATTGCAGAGGAATTGTGTATTTTACTAAAAAACATCAGATACCGTATTTTCACGACTATAAGGCGCACCTAAACGTCTTTTTTTTCCCTCAAAATGTGGGGTGCGCCCTATGGTGCGGTGCGCCCTATCTGCGGACGTTGTTGAGACCACCATGAGTGTGTGAGAACCTTAAAGGGGGAAGTGTGGGCGTGGCTTGTGTATAAAACAACAGGTATGTGCTTTATGCAGAACATTGTTGTCTTAACAACCCTGAAATTGGCAAAGAGACACGCCTATGAAGCCCAGTTTAAACTGAAGGCTATCAGCTACGCAGAGGAACATGGAAATCGAGCAGCTGCGAGAGAATTCAATATAAATGAATCAATGGTTCGCAAGTGGAGGAAGCTGGAAAACGAACTCCGACTGGTGAAGAAGACGCAGCTGAGTTTCCGCGGACATAAGGCGAGGTGGCCCGAGTTGGAGGAAAGACTCGAGCGGTGGATCGTGGAGCAAAGAACGAGTGGGGCCAGCGTTTCAACGGTCACTGTTCGACTAAAAGCAGTAAAGCTGGCGGAAGAAATGAAAATTGAAAATTTTCAAGGAGGTCCATCGTGGTGCTTCCGTTTTATGAAACGGTGCAATTTTTCCATCTGGACCAGGACTACAGTTGCTCAGCGACGTCCGGCGGATTATGATGAAAAGCTGGCGAGCTTCCACTCCTTCTGCAGCAAACACATCGCTGACAAAGTCATCCAGCCAAGCCACATCACCAACATGGACGAGGTGCCGCTCACTTTCGACATCCCGGTGAATCACACCGTGGAGAAGAAGGGGACCAGCACTGTAGCGATACACACAACAGGGTATGAAAAGGCGTCGTTTACTGTTGTGCTTGGCTGCCACGCAAATGGACAGAAACTGCCGCCTATGGTGATTTTTAAAAGAAAGACTTTGCCTAAAGAGGCTTTCGCAAAAGCCGGCATCATTTCCAAGGAGCCGCCCGGCACGGAAAGTGACTCTGACAGCGAAGAAGAAGGGGAAACTGGCATGTCGGATTTAGCGCAGCTGTTTAATTCAGAAACAGAGGATGAGGACTTTGAGGGGTTTGATTAATACTCTGTAATAAATACTTGAATAAAGCACAATCATACTCAGTTTTGCTCCCGCTCTATTTTTCTACCTGAAAACTTAATTCAACAGCAGCCTCTGGGCCGCGGCGCATCCGGGCTCACCTCAGCAGGTGTTTTTTCATCTAAATAATCTAAATCTTTTTAAGTGAGAAAGTCCACCTGAAAATTTAATCATTGCAGTCAGTTCATCCAGATTATTATCCTGCCTATGTTTTAAGTTAATTTATGCGTCAATAAACGAGGAAGAAGGGGAAACTGGCATGTCGGATTTAGCGCAGCTGTTTAATTCAGAAACAGAGGATGAGGACTTTGAGATGAGGACTTTGAGGGGTTTGATTAATACTCTGTAATAAATACATGAATAAAGCACAATCATACTCAGTTTTGCTCCCGCTCTATTTTTCTACCTGAAAACTTAATTCAACAGCAGCCTCTGGGCCGCGGCGCATCCGGGCTCACCTCGGCAGGTGTTTTTTCATCTAAATAGGCTAATCTAAATCTTTTTAAGTGAGAAAGTCCACCTGAAAATGTAATCATTGCAGTCAGTTCATCCAGATTATTATCCTGCCTATGTTTTAAGTTAATTTATGCGTCAATAAACGAAGAAGAAGGGGAAACTGGCATGTCGGATTTAGCGCAGCTGTTTAATTCAGAAAACGGATGTGGACTTTGAGGGTTTTGATTAATACTCTGTAATAAATACTTGAATAAAGCACAATCATACTCAGTTTTGCTCCCGCTCTATTTTTCTACCTGAAAACTTAATTCAACAGCAGCCTCTGGGCCGCGGCGCATCCGGGCTCACCTCGGCAGGTGTTTTTTCATCTAAATAATCTAAATCTTTTTGAGTGAGAAAGTCCACCTGAAAATTTAATCATTGCAGTCAGTTCATCCAGATTATTATCCTGCCTACGTTTTAAGTTAATTTATGCGTC